AAAGAAAAATGAGTTTTGAAGAATCTCTACCAAACAGGGGCTAAATTTCGGCATTGTGATTGCTGGTCAATGTACAACTTTCTTTTTCCATTATCATTTTTATCTGAACTAATTTTCTCCACTCCTATTCTCGAAACGCTTAAAATATTCTCCTGATAGTAACAAGCTCACCATGGAGAGTGGGTGACGATGGAAGGTCAGTTGAAACTATGTACCAACTTTTACAATTCCTCTAGATTGTCTTCGCTAGTTTTTCATGTTTTTTAAAATTGTATGTCTGGTGTTTCCCTCCTGTCATCTTCAGTCATTTGGAGGACGCGGTGGTTAGATGTGGATATATGCCTTTTATCTATGTATACAATCATGCTGTGTTCGTGGCATGATGTCAAGACATGTAAGGAGATTGTGTGTATTTAATGTTATTGAAACTGGCAAGTGTCCTATTCTGATTTAGGTTTGGTTATTTCTGCTAGCCCGTACTCTCGTGTCTTGACAGTAGACTCCAGTGAGAGTTGGCTCTGCTTCGACTGCTAATGATGATTCACCATCATCATTGATTAGAAACTATCAAAATGGTGCATTGGATTATTTAGTCCATTGTCACAGAAAATGTTAAGCATGATCACAAATATGAAAAATTGAATATGGAAAAGAATACGGACTGCATCAGACATTATGCTTGAGCACGATCAAACCTGTTATCACGGATGTCCATCCTTTTGCAATTTGGTTCTCTCTGACCATATTGAATGAGCAAATCATAGTTAAGGTTTTGCCCATGCTTATCCATTATTTCCACATTTTTAGCTATTTACAATTCTCTTGACGGTGTGCTGGTTGCTGTTATAATTTTCTTTTTACTCTTCATTTGACTAGGTTTCAGGGCAATGTTTTGAATTTTGTTTGACATTTTGTTAGGTCTTAGTCATTGTTCTCTACATGCTACGAGAACGATTTTAGCTTCACCTGTCTGTTAGTTCTGGATTGACGTTTTACACGTGCATCTGTGATTTATTTGATTTTTAATATTTCATATTTGTGTTTAGTCTTTTTGTGCTTCCACATTTTTCTTTTGACTTTATGATCCAGTGCATGCAAATCTGAAATAAGATTTCTATGTATGACGTGCATCTTTTTATTTGGTATTGAAATGAAAGCAAGCGATGCTCTTGCTTCAGCTCTCCCCTCTCTCCACTGATGACCGTATACTCCATATGTTTTTTTTTCCATATTTGCAGATACGTACCAAACTTCTGGAGGAACTCAGAGTGAGGATGATCTTTCTAACACAACTGTCAGTATATTCATCATCAATCTCCTTATGTCAATTGTTTTAAAGTAATAAATGCTTACCAACGTAAATTTTGTCTGACTGCAGATCTTCATTGGGAACTTGGACCCTAATATTACTGAAGAACATCTAAGACAGGTTTTTGGACACTATGGACAACTATTACATGTAAAAATACCAATAGGCAAACGATGTGGGTTTGTTCAATATGCCGACAGGTAAACTGAGAAAACTAATTGGATGTTTCTACCCCCCAATTTAAATGCCAAGAAATTATGTCAACTTTCTTATGCTCTCTTTCCATTGGTTACAATAGAAGCTGTGCGGAGGAAGCTATACGGTTGTTAAATGGAACCCAGTTGGGAGGACAAAGCATTCGACTCTCATGGGGCCGTAGTCCTTCAAACAAACAAGTATATTTGCCGTTAATGTTTTCAGTGTTTGTGTTTTGAAGGTTTTCCTCAAGGTTTTTGTTCATTTCGTTTCATCCATTGAAACCTTTGTTTCAGGTTGATCCAAACCAGTATAATGGTGCATATTATGGATATGCCCCTGGATACGAAACCTATGGATATGCTCCGGCAGCGCAGGATCCAAACTTGTACTATGCAGGCTACGCGGGATACGGAAACTACCCACAACCACCTCAACAGCAGCAGCCGCCTCAGGTACTACACCCTCAAATTTTGTCACAAATGATAATTTATGTACATTTGTTTTGAATACTTGGAGTTAAGATTAACAAAATTTTTGTCTTGTGCAGTGATCGGTCAATAATGGAACTGGTAGAGGTAGCGAGATCTCAGATGTTACTCAATTGTCATGGGGTCGTTCAAACTGTTGTTTGTTTGAGTTCTAGAGAAAAGTGAAACAGACTCTCTTAGGTTAATGCGCGTTTCTGCCCATTTTTGATCGTATATTTAACTCAATCGTTAACATTTGCAGATGTTGGTGCGTATTTATTCGTTTGCTATTATTAATAAAAAAAAATTTTTCTCGAATTGATTTATTGTTGTCATTGAAGATACAGGGAATATTTTGTGACGCTATGCTTTGCAAGTGCGTTAATTTCATTAAAAGTTCAAAGATTTTATATTGTAAGTTCCTAACAATTAATTCATAAATAAAGAGAGAAAAAAAGGTCTGGTCCATATCAATCTTCATGATATGCTGCAGCTTAGACTCCATTGCTTCAAGTTCTACAGGGACAATATGAATTTGAGCAAGTACTGTAAAGAGCAACTACAGGAATTTAGTGTAGCTCGAAAAAAGGACATTGCATTTGAGTCTTTGACTGCGATCTAACGATCTTGGGTCAACCATGGATTTCGCGGTTTGAGCTTCGGAATGGATAGACTCTGAGCTGTTCCAGTAATGGGAACCTACAGGCATTTCATGTAGCTCGAAAATCCTGCGATCCAACGGTCTAGAGTGAAATCTGGCTTTTGCAGTTTGTTGATTTGTGTATTCCATTTCACTGAAAACTTGCACAGGTTGAGATTTATCCGCTACTTTGTTTTTTTAACTATTCTTTCTTTTGTTTCCTCTCTATACATATAGGAAAGAGAGAACACGATGAATAAGCTAAGAATTAAGGCATCATTAATTGCTAGTTAATACATTCCATGGCGTGGAAGTTTATGTGATTTTATTTCGGTGAAAATTGAAAATCGTATTACATAGTTCCATAATTGCTTACGAAACATGCTTTCCACAACAATACAAATAATAACGTGCATCAAGGCTCAAGCTGATGATTCTTGATTACCATTTTGCTTAGAAATCTTTGTTGTCTTATCTCTGCCCAAATTCATGGAGGTTGCATGCTTTGATGATAACAAGGTTCCGGAGGTTGGACAACATCAGTAAGAACAAAATCCATGTCAATACTGCAATCAACAGAAAAAGAGGCTAGCTCATAAACCCTTCCTCCCAGTGTCGATTCTCCAAGCTCCAGTTCAATGGCGCCTGGTCATGCCCAGTTCTTACTGTAGACAGTGAACCGGCTTCATCGTTGCTTGGGGCATTTTCACTGATTGTTGTAACTTTTGCTTCAGGGTTGAAGTTAGTTTCTTGTTGTAGTGCAATATTTGTTTTTCAATTCATTGTGAACCAAATCACCTGGTTGAAACTACGAGCACAATGGTGAAAATTGCTTATGCTTTTCTTCTTCTTTTTAACCCTAAAGAAAATTGTTGTTTGGTCCAAATATGGACCATAAATAACAAATATATAAAATTCAAATGCTTTAGACTTTTTTTAATTTTAATTACCTCTTAATTTGCTAAATATTTGATGCTTTCCTCAAATTTTGGCATGCTTTTTCTAACATCAATTATATTATATAATTATCCGTTATAAATGATGGGTATTGGTATTTGAAACCAACCAATCAAAACCAGGCCAAACTACCTGGTTCGGTCGATTCTAATTTAAATTAGTTTAGTTATGAGTTTTAGAATAGATAATTGAATGGGTTTAATCCGATTCTCAATTTTTAGATTCGATTAATTATTTTTTTATGATCCCTTAATTTACTCAAGTTTATATATTTTCAAAATAATCGAGAGTTTTAAAGTTTAAAATATAATCCTTAAAAATGAAATTAAAAAATATATATATTCAATGATTTACACTTTAAAATTTATTTTTAAAACATAAAATTATCAAACCAAATCTGACCTGAAGTAATTATTTTATAATAAGAAAGAAATCAAAACGAACCAAACCTACATCGTTCGGTTTTAGTTTTGGTCCAATTCCCTTTTTTCTTTTCCGTGAAACCAGTTGTTCCATTTTTACGATTCTCAACGGGAATTGATATGTTTTGGTTCTCAAGATACTTCATCCCAACTCGACCTCAACATCCGTTACTTGATATGATGCTGAACTAGAAAAAAAAAATTAAAAAATCTAAAACACAAATTCACACAAATCTTGTGTGCAATTTCATTATTACCTTGGTTGGAGTGATAAAAACCCATATTATTAAAAAGAAATTCACTACAAAGAGTAATGCTTGAACGAAAGTATTGATCTTGTAAGAGTGCAAGTAATATCTTTGAAGTAATACTATTTATCATTATAATGATGGAATATTGGTGATATGACAATATATTATTATTTATATTTTTCTCTCATAAGAATTAAACTGCTCAATCCCTCGTTCCTCTCTCTTATAAAAATTAAACGGTTGAATCTCATTATCCTACGTGGACTATCATCGAGATTTCATTACGAATTAATCTACTTGTACAATGATGGTTGACAATGTTAGATATGACAAAATCTGGATAATTGATTTAAAAACAGTTTTTGAATTTTTTTGAAATGTGTGAATGTGATGGTGCCAAATCATGATTATCAACAAACATTGTCAACTATCATTGTACATGTAGCATTGATTGTTTCATTACAAGGATAAGAGGGTGTTTGTCTGGGATTCTCAAATTTTACAATAAATCAATTCTCATTTTCAACCACACATCAATAAATTTTTTCTTCTTTTTCAACCACATATTTCCCATCATATCACTATTCAAAAATCAATTCTTCCCTCAAAAATCTCGAACAAACACCCCTAAATATCATTCTATCTCTGGTCCAATTCCTAAGGCACGTGGCCCGCATGCGATTCTTGATATTCTATAAATAGGATCTGTATCTATTTTTCTTGAAATTTCCGTTCTTCCCAACCACACATCACCGTATGGCTTCTCTTCTCACCGGCGGAATTTCACCTTTTTGTTCAAAACCCATTTTAGAACCCTTTAAAGGGTCTCTGTTTCACCAATTTCCCAAATCATCCAGCCTCAGAAACCCGAGTCCAAGAACTTTCTTGAAGATTAGGGCTGACGTCGGCTATGAATCCAATACTACAATTGAGTCTCCAGGTAAGAAATCATCGGTCTCTGCCTCAGATGATGATGACCCGCTTCATAAATTCTTGAAAAGAGACTATAAGTGGGGTTTTAATGAAGAGATCGACTCCTTTACGATTCCTAAGGGGTTGTCTGAGGAAACAGTTAGGTTAATTTCTTCTAGGAAAAATGAGCCTGATTGGATGCTTGAGTTCAGATTAAAGTCTTATCAGAAGTTTGTCAATATGAAAGAGCCCAAATGGTCAGATAATCGGTACCCAGAAATTGATTTTCAGGATCTTTGTTATTATTCAGAGCCCAAAAAGAAGCCCACTTTGAATAGTCTTGATGAGGCTGACCCTGAGCTGGTTAAGTATTTTGATAAGCTTGGGGTGCCTTTGAATGAAAGGAATAGACTGGCTAATGTCGCGGTTGATGCTGTTCTTGATAGCGTTTCAATTGCTACTACTCANGGACCGAGCCTAATTTTTTTTGGCCGGGCCCGGCGCTGCTCGGCTCGGGCCAAAAAAAGCTCGGGCTCGGCTCGGCTCGGCTCGTTGCCACCGCTAGCCGCCTATCTTCTGGATGGTTCCAATTCTGGTGAGGTGGAAGCATCTTCCAACGAGCTTGCTGATCTGTATTTCTGTCCAAGTCAGCTAGCTTTCCCTCCATATGGCCTGCTTCAGCTTCACTCTTATTTCTTGATAGCCCTCCACAAGATGGAGAGTATATATCCATTACTCCCATCTTGGACAAGCATGAATAGAAATTTTGAGAACCTAAGCTTTTGGTGAGAATGTCTGCCACCTGATTTTTGCTGGTTACATGTTCAGTCGAGATACTCCCTTCTTGAATTTTATCCCTAATCAAGTGACAATCTATCTCTATGTGTTTCGTTCTTTCGTGGAAGACAGGATTTGTGGCAATGTGTATGGAGGATTTGTTATCACAAAACAACTTTGCACTTTGCTGATGTGAAATCTGTAAGTCTTTAAGCAAATACCCAAGCCAAGTTAATTCACAACATACATTGGCCATTGCCCTGTACTCCGCTTCGGTGGATGATCTAGAGATAACTCCTTGCTTCTTCGACTTCCATGACACCAAAGAACTTCCTATAAAAACGCAATACCCTGTCACAGATTTCCTTGTGTCTGGACAGGCTCCCCAATCTGAGTCACTATACCCTTTAAGTTGAATTTCGGTGTCAACTGGATAGTATAATCCTTGCCCTAGTGATCTCTTTAAATACCTTAGGACTTTGTGTGCAGCGTGCAGGTGTGTTACTCTAGGACTATCCATAAACTGGCTTAATAATTGTACTGAATAGGATATGTCGGGCCTTGTAATGGTAAGATACAGCAATCTCCCAACTAATCTTCTGTAGAGGGCAGGTTCAGGTAGAAGATCACCATCTTCCCTGGATAATCTAATGTTTTGATCTAAAGGGATCCTTGCTGGTGAAGATCCAATGGTACCTGAATCGCCTAAGATATCCAAGGCATATTTTCGTTGGCACAAGAAAATCCCTTTTGTTGTCCTGGCAACTTCAATGCCAAGGAAATATTTTAGCTTGCCAAGATCTTTTATTTTGAACCGATCATCCAGTGAACATTTTAACTGTTTGATCGTTTTCTCACAATTGCCAGCCACAATTATGTCATCCACATAGATTAAAATGGTTGTGAAAGAGATGTCTGTTCCCTTGGTAAATAGGCTGTAATCAGTCGATGATGAAATTTGAAAGCTTTGAATACCATTGGCAACTTGCTTGCTTGAGTCCATAGAGACTTTTTTTAAGTTTACAAACTTTTCCCCCTTCTTTGCCACGATATCCAGGTGGTAATTCTATGTACACCTCCTCTTCCAAATCCCCATGCAAGAATGCATTGTTAACATCAAATTGTTGTAAAATCCACCCCTTAGCTACTGCAATTGCCAGTAGAGTCCTGACCGTTACCATTTTTGCCACCGGGGAAAAGGTCTCGTGATAATCTAATCCTTCTTGTTGTGTGTAACCCTTCGCAACGAGTCTTGCCTTGTACCTTTCTATAGAGCCATCAGCATTGAATTTAATCTTATACACCCATTTGCAACCTATTTTTTCTTTATCAGGTGGTAAGTTGACAATCTCCCAGGTACCATTAAGCTCAAGTGCAATAATTTCAGCTTTCATGGCAGCTCTCCATTCAGGAGATGAACTGGCTTCTAGGTAATTTTTGGGTTCTGTTTGTGAAGTAATGGAGCTAACAAATGCCTTGTGTGGTGCAGATAATTTTTCATAAGATATGCTAGCAGCAAGAGGAAAAGGGTTACCTGACTGAACCTTTTGATTCTTCAACAATTGAGATGGGTAAAGTAAAGTGGTCTGCTGGCATATAAAATCTTGAAGATGTGCTGGAGCCTTTTTTAACCTGTTTGACCTTCGAGGTAAATGTGTATAGGTGCTTGGTTCAAGTTCTGGTTCCTACAGGGAGTTGATATCAGTTTCTTCAGTTTCACTGGTTTCTGAATTAGCATGTTGGGAGTAGCTATATTGGGTGTCTGGGAATTAATGGTATGAAGAGGCAGACTGGTAGTGGAAATGATAGGATCCTTTGTATAACCGAGATCATTTGAACTTAATGAGAAGTCATGACAGCTCATTTCCTTAACTTTAAATGGAAAAATAGTTTCATGAAAATTCACATTTCTAGAGATAAAAATTCTTTTACTATCTAAATCTAGCAATCTATATCCTTTGGTACCAAAGGGGTAACCAATGAACACACACTTCCTAGCTCTATGATCAAATTTATGTCTCCCTTGAATGAGAGTGGTGGCAAAGGCCAAGCATCCAAAAATTTTGAGATGATCATAGTTTGGTTTAGTTTTGAAAAGAATTTCGATGGGGCTTTTATGACTTAATAGAGGAGTGGGAGTCCTATTTATTAAATATATTGTTGTAAGTATGCAATGATTCCAAAATTCTAAAGGAATACCACTTTGAAATCTTAATGCTCTTGCAACATTTAAGATGTGCTGATGTTTTCTTTCAGCTGTGGCATTCTGTTGGGGTGTTTCTACGCACGTTGTTTGATGTATAATACCCTTTTGTAGATAAAAATCTTTCATGATGAACTCCCCTCCATTATCACTTCGAATTATCTTTACCTTAGCTTCAAATTGATTTTCCACCATAGCACAGAAATTTTGTAAGGTAGTGGTGGCTTCAAATTTTAGTTTCAACATGTAAATCCAAGTGCATCTACTGAAATTATCCACTATAGTTAAGAAATATTTTGAGCCATCATGACAAACTTCATTGCAAGGTCCCTAAATATCACAATTTATTAATTCAAAAGAGGCATTGGTTTTGTGCTGGCTATTAGAGAAGGGTAACTTGTGTTGTTTTGCTAACGGGCAAACATCACATGGTTGACTACTATGTGGCTTAAAATAGGAAGAATGTCCTAGTCTATAATGCCAGAGGTCAAGTGATTCTGCACTATAAACAGAGGCTGGAATGCTAGTTTTCTGATTGAACTTGGACAGAACAATAGATAGAGCTGAGGGAGAGACATCTTCTTGTGATATATGATAGAGTCCTTGTTTTACCTCACCCATTCCAATCGTTGTCCATCTCAAGAGGTCCTGGATATAGCAACAATCAAAGAAAAAAATAAGGCAACAATTTAGTTCTTGAGCTAATTTTTTTGCTGAAATCAGGTTAAAGGAAAAATGGGGAACACAGAGGACATCACTAAGTGTGAGTAACTTTGTAACTTTCATTGTCCCTATATGAGTGACAGGTACCGTTTTCCCATTAGGTGGGGCCACTGTGGATGAAATGCTAGCTTGAATGGAATGAAACAATGATTTGAAGCAGATCATATGATCTGTGGCTCCTGTATCCAGAATCCATGGAATGTCACAATTTTTATGAGGTTTAGATAAAAAGGCAGATAAAGAGCATATACCAGACATGGAAGAAGAGGGTGCAAACATGCTTAGAACATTGTTGGCTGAATAAGTGGAAGTTTGAGTGCCAGTAGCAGGTTTTAGGAGTGCCAGAAGCTGTGAGTATTGCTCCTGAGTTAATGGCATCAGTAACTTGTCTCCAGCGTTTTCCTGATTAGAAGCAACACCTCCAGCCACATAGTTTGCCATGGATTTTCCCTTCCCATATGATTTGTGGCTTGCTAGGTATCCATTCAATTTGTAACACCTTTTGGCTATGTGTCCTGGCATTTGACAGTAGGAACATATAGGCTTATCTGTGTTAGCCTTGAAGCACCTTTCCAGTGAGTGCCCTGGGATCTTGCAATAGGTACAGTAGTACCTATCTTTCTTCTGTGGGCTGCTCGACTTATCAGCATAACTTCTGCTTATCAAGGCCATAGAATCACTGCTAGAACTAACACCAGATATCTCCCTCCTCTTCTCCTCTTGTTGGACAATTGAGTATACTTCGTTCAAGCTAGGAAAAGGTTTGATTAATAGAATTTGGGCCTTTATCCCTTTGTAGGAATCATTGAGACCCATTAGAAATTCCATCACCCAATCCCTTTGTTGATTCTCACTTACTACTTTCAAGCCTCCACAGGTGCAATTAGGAATGAACTCATAGTTCAACAATTCATCTAGTAGTGTTTTCAGTTTGGAGAAATAAGAACTTACAGAGTCCTGATTTTGCAATAAACTGGTGATTCCTTACTTTATCTCAAAAATCCTTGGTGCATTTTGTTGAGCAAATCGTTGCTCTAACTCCAGCCAAAGCTGATGAGCAGTCTCAGCATAAATCGTGCTGCACTTGATGTCGACTGCCATAGTATTTTGCATCCAGGTTATCACTATATCGTTGCACCACAACCAATGTTCAGTCAGGGGATCATTGGGATCTAACGGCTCACAGATGGTGCCGTCAATAAATCCTAGTTTGTTCTTGATTCGCAGGGCTCTCTTCATAGATCTAGCCTATGAATGGTCATTGTTGGAGTCAAGGATATGTGTGACCAGCATAGCACCTGAACCATCACTGCTACCGATGTAAAACAGACTTGCTGGGTGAGTTGGATCAGGATTGGTGAGTATTGATTGGTTTTGGTCTGCTGCTGGAGGCAAAAATTTTGATTGTTTGTTTGTTCCATTTAGGCTCTGATACCATATAAAATTTGGATGTGCAGCAGATTGAAATAATGGGGAGAAACAGAATTTAAATATGATGCAACATAATTTGAAAACCTGGAACACGAATGAAGAAGGATTGCTTTTGCATTTTGCTTTCTTGCCTTATAATTACATCCAATCAGTATTTTATAATACAAAGTGAGAATCAAAGAATTAACAAATCCTTAACAATACTAGTGGTCCTTCAAAATCAGTTACACATAACAATCTTGCAACAGATTTTTCTTCTATCCCTTTTCTAGAATATCCAGCTGCCTATCTTCTGGATGGTTCCAATTCTGGTGAGGTGGAAGCATCTTCCAACGAGCTTGGTGATCTGTATTTCTGTCCAAGTCAGCTAGCTTTCCCTCCACATGGTCTGCTTCAGCTTCACTCTTATTTCTTGATATTATTTTTTATATTTTTCTCTCATAAAAATTAAACTGCTCAATCCCTCATCCCTCTCTCTTATAAAAATTAAACGGTTGAATCTCATTATCCTACGTGGACTATCACCGAGATTTCATTACGAATTAATCTACTTGTACAATGATGGTTGACAATGTTAGATGTGGCAAAATCTGGATAATTGATTTAAAAACAGTTTTTGAATTTTTTTTTGAAATGTGTCAATGTGATGATGCCAAATCATGATTGTCAACAAATATTGTCAACTATCATTGTACATGTAGCATTGATTATTTCATTACAAGGATGAGGGGGTGTTTGTTTGGGATTCTCAAATTTTAAAGTAAATCAATTCTCATTTTCAACCACACATTTTTCAATAAAATAATATTTTTTATCACATCAATAAATTTTTTCTTCTTTTTCAACCACACAATTCCCATCATATCACTATTCAAAAATCAATTCTTCCCCCAAAAATCAATTCTTCCCCCAAAAATCTCAAACAAACACCGCCTAAATATCATTCTATCTCTAGTCCAATTCCTAAGGCACGTGGCCCGCATGCGATTCTTGATATTATATAAATAGGATCTGTATCTTTTTTTTTCCTTGAAATTTCCATTCTTCACAACCACACATCACCGTATGGCTTCTCTTCTCACCGGCGGAATTTCACCTTTTTGTTCAAAACCCATTTTAGAACCCTTTAAAGGGTCTCTGTTTCACCAATTTCCCAAATCATCCAGCCTCAGAAACCCGAGTCCAAGAACTTTCTTGAAGATTAGGGCTGACGTCGGCTATGAATCCAATACTACAATTGAGTCTCCAGGTAAGAAATCATCGGTCTCTGCCTCAGATGATGATGACCCGCTTCATAAATTCTTGAAAAGAGACTATAAGTGGGGTTTTAATGAAGAGATTGACTCCTTTACGATTCCTAAGGGGTTGTCTGAGGAAACAGTTAGGTTAATTTCTTCTAGGAAAAATGAGCCTGATTGGATGCTTGAGTTCAGATTAAAGTCTTATCAGAAGTTTGTCAATATGAAAGAGCCCAAATGGTCAGATAATCAGTACCCAGAAATTGATTTTCAGGATCTTTGTTATTATTCAGAGCCCAAAAAGAAGCCTACTTTGAATAGTCTTGATGAGGCTGACCCTGAGCTGGTTAAGTATTTTGATAAGCTTGGGGTGCCTTTGAATGAAAGGAATAGACTGGCTAATGTCGCGGTTGATGCTGTTCTTGATAGCGTTTCAATTGCTACTACTCATAGGAAGACGTTGGAGAAAGCCGGTGTGATTTTTTGTTCAATTTCTGAGGCTATTAGAGAGCATCCAGAGTTAGTTAGGAAATATTTGGGTAGGGTCGTACCCCCTGAGGATAATTTTTATGCCTCTTTGAATTCAGCTGTATTCAGTGATGGGTCATTTGTGTATATACCAAAAAATACAAAGTGTCCTATGCAAATATCAACCTATTTTAGGATAAATGCGATGGAGACGGGGCAGTTTGAGAGGACATTGATCGTTGCAGATGAAGGAAGTTTCGTAGAGTATTTGGAGGGGTGTACTGCACCTTCTTATGATACGAACCAATTGCATGCTGCAGTGGTGGAGTTGTATTGCCTTGAGGGTGCCGAGATCAAGTATTCCACGGTTCAGAATTGGTATGCAGGTGATGAGGAAGGGAAAGGTGGTATCTATAATTTTGTTACAAAGAGGGGGCTTTGTGCTGGGCCTAGGTCTAAGATATCATGGACACAAGTGGAGACTGGGTCAGCCATCACTTGGAAATACCCAAGTGTTATTTTAGAGGGTGATGAATCAGTTGGTGAGTTCTATTCTGTGGCATTGACCAATAATTATCAGCAGGCTGACACGGGAACGAAGATGATACACAAGGGGAAGAATACTAGAAGTAGGATAATATCGAAAGGTATTTCAGCTGGACATTCAAGAAATTGTTATAGAGGTCTGGTTCAGGTATTGTCCAATGCGCACAATGCTCGAAATTCTTCGCAGTGTGATTCAATGCTCATTGGAGACAATGCTGCTGCTAACACTTATCCATACATTCAGGTATATTTATTTGAACCCGTTTCTCACTGTTTGCTGCTTGGTAATATTTCAATCTTATCTTTCTTGCTTATATGCCCGAGTTTTCAAATTTTAATTCAAAGCCGGGCATTCTCTTGATCAGAGGCTCTGTGATCAAAGATAGCTATAGTATTATCCTTGGTAGTTTGACTCTGTCCGTGTAAAGTTTACTTCTGTAAACTGTACTTTTCTAGATAATGTTTCCTTTTTTCCCCTTTAGGGATAACCTGGTTGAAGGACCTCTTTAAGATTGTTTGCTTTTTGAGTGCACAGTGCGGAACTATGTTCATTTTAATATCTACACTTGGAAGCTTTATTAATTCATTCGACTCATGTTATGCATCATGAAAATAGCATATGGCTCAAATCATGACCAGTAGATATTTTATTGGTAAGTGTTCTCGTTGACAAGACACTATCAAAACATGTCGGTAGTTTATTCTGTTTGAAGCCTCATGGATGAATACTTCTCTATACATATGCATACATAGAAAGAGGGATGATGACTTTTGATTGATCAACTCGTTTCACTTATTAGGATGTTTTATCCTCATTAGTAATTAATGATGTATCATAATTGCTGTTGTTTCTGCATTCATTTAAAATGTAGCTTCTTTCTATGTAAAACGTTTGATGCCAAAGGAATCAAAGGCAAAAGAATCTTGATATGGTGTTCTTGGTATGTGTTTTGTTCACGCAATATTAGATAGAAGTGGAAAGTATACATTATAAAATTTGAAATTTTTTCTTCTTTAATAGTGTCCTATTAAACATGCCTTTATTGTAAAAAAGTATATTGCAGACTTCTGGTTGCTAACAATGAACTTTTGTTCTCGAAACAGGCGAAAAATCCGACTTCCCGTATTGAACATGAAGCCACGACCTCCAAAATTGGTGAAGATCAGTTATTCTACTTCCAGCAGAGAGGTATTGACTATGAGAAAGCTATGGCAGCCATGATTTCTGGGTTTTGTCGGGACGTCTTCAATGAATTGCCTGATGAATTTGGGGCTGAAGTAAACCAGCTCATGAGTTTGAAGCTTGAAGGATCTGTTGGCTAAGCTGTAAATATAATAAGGCTGTATTGCGTGGAAACTTGTATTTCTCTTTATAAGTTTTGATCTTTAAAATTTACTATCTCTTGAGATAGATTTCCCAGAAGACAAACATACAAAATTTGTAAATGCGTAAACAATGATACTAGTGTTGATTGTGAATTTCTCCATAGCGTCGAGTGCAGCATAAAAAATGAGGTTCGTTGTATAATTATTTATTTCTAGTCTGTGGACATTAGAAAATGTTACTTCTGTAATTCTATGTTGGATAGTACACTGTTCATTTTATCCAGTATAATTTTTTCAATGATTGTGTAGTCGCTCAGTGGAGAATCGGTCATTACTGATAATTTGCTGAGTCATAGTTGAAATTGAAATTGCAGTATTGCATTGTTTTTAGTTGAACTAAAGAGTGAACTTGGTGTTGGCTCCCTTTTTCAACTTGCAAGAGATCGGTACACCGTTTTTGGTTGGAAGGTTGTAGAGTTATAGGTATGCGGCGCTGTCTTGATTTAACTGCTGATGGGGTTTGCCCAATTTAGGGGTTGAAGTGTCTTCTTATGAAGTCGAGAAAGTTCTCAATTTCAGGCTTTGGATTCTTTGAAATCTTCTTTTCTATTAACTATTAAGCTTTATAAAAGGTGGTTGTTGATGAGTTGTAGATCGGTTTTATATTTTTCTGAATTTGACATGAAGTTTGGATGGTCAGGTCTGAGTTGCTTGCTTTTCACCTTTTTTTCCCTTAAAGTTTTAGATTCTTAAATGATTTTCCTGTTCTTAGGCTTCAGCTTATTTAAATGGCAATGTAATTGACTACTATAGTTCAGTAAATGGCTCTGAGGTTGTAACAAGGAGGGTAATAGGTCGCACAGGGCTACGGGTTTGTGATGTTCAGTGTTGAAAGTGAACAGTTACAAGCCATGACTGAGATGAATGGAAGGTTTTGTTCGACCAGGCCCATGCAAGTAGGTCCTGCTGCTAACAAGCAGAAGTGGGGGTTCAGACAAAAGGTATGATTGACCCTCGAATGTTAATTCCTAGCATATTTAACTGCTAGTGCAGCAACAAAAATAATTTATACCTGCTAACCATCGTCTCTTTTTTGTTCTCATTTGTATGATGTGCCTTTTTCCCCTGAATTTGGCAGTTTCATTGTATTGTTTGCTTTTTTTTTTTGTTCCGAAATATTATGGAGTTCTTATGTCTCTTCGTTAAACAATGCTCTGAAATTTGCTTTCATTCATTTATGAGTTATTGAAATAGAACATCTTACGACGCGGTTTCCTTCCAGTACTTCAACTATTTTTAGTTTTAAAATATTAAAACTTGCATGATCTCTTAAAACACTGGTTGTCTCAAAGCAGGGTGTCAGGAGGCTCTATCATAACCCATTTAGTGGCTGGTCATGTGTAGGTCTGTTGGTTACTTCTGCTTGCCCATGCGTGTTCCTGTCAGGACAGTAGAGAGTGTTGGCTCTGTTTTTGAATATGATGTTTTTTAGTTCTGTATCTTAGGTGTTTCCCTTCTGTCGTCTTCAATCACTTTGAGTGGATTTGTGCATAGATGCATTTTGTCTATTTATACCGTTATCCTGTGTTAGTGGCGTGATGTCTACACATATAATGATATAAAGAGATTATGTATATTAGTAAAATGTGATGCATCATACAGATTAGCCAAGAGAGGCAGGAAAACTGGACAAGTAGGTAGAGATCTTCGTGAACCATGGAGGGACTCTCAATTGGTCTTTTCTAGGATTCCTTATTCAGTTAATGAAAGTGGTATGCAAATACCTGTATTTCTACAAGTATGCTTCTAATCTACAGCTTCGGGTTTGGTTACTTGTGCTTGCCCATACGTGCTCCTGTCTGGACAGTGGACAGTAGAGAGTGTTGGCTCTGTTTTGATAGAATATGATGCCTGCATTATCAAGCATCAATCTAGAAACTGTCAAAATCTCATTGAATATTGGATTATGTTGTACCGTGTCACGGATCATGCTAAGCATGATAGCAGTATGAAAATAGAATATTAAAAAAGAATACAGGCAGCATCTGAATATGAACTCAGTTGATCATTCCCCTTTTTCTACATTTATGATTATCGCCTTCTCTTTCATATACTCTTGTCATATTTGCAACTTCGTACCGAACTTCTCAAGGAAGTCAGAGTTAGGATGATCCAACGAACACGACCATCTGTATATTTATCATCAATCTCTTTATTCAGTCTATTTTGGTAATATATGCTTACCAACCTATGACACTAAAGGGTGGCAACCTTAAGTGCCAGAATTCAATTCTTAGTGAATAATGGGACGGTTGGCTTCTGGATGCTAACAAATTATTGGGTCTCATGCGTTGCTATGGGACATTTCCGGATGAGATAAACATTTAATTTGGTGATCAAATGCTTCTGCTGTGCTGGATATCTTGAAATGTTGATGAGATTTTTATGCCTTTGGCCATGAACTGAAGTCCATTGCTGATTTACCTTGGACAGATGATCGATGATCTCTTTACATTTCGTAACTAAAATGTCAACACGATGTCGACTTTCTGTATTCCATCTAAATGTTGATGCACATGTAAATGAGATGGATTACTGTTGCGTCTTGTTTCATCTACATTAGTTTAGAATAATTCCGTGTGTACAGAATTATTCTTCACAGAATATTGCCAGAACACTCACAAGGGGTTGTGCCCCATGTGAATAAAATATTGAAAAAAAAAAAAACCCCATCCATGCTGTGAGTTTTGTATATGTTTTGTATGTTGTTTTCTGTACACAGAGCACAACGATGACCCTTATCTTTTAGTTGCAGTAGGGGCGGAATTAGAATTTTAGAGATTTGGGGCAAATCTCACAAAATTTTAATTGTGGTGGCAAAATTAAAAACTATTTAAGGAATTTTTTAAAAATCTTGAAGAATGTCGTGCAAATTTTTGGATTTAAAATTTAGTGTGAAGGTAGATGGTCCCATTGCCCCCAATGTAGACCGGTCCATGGCTTGGCTTGCAGATGTTATATTTTTGATATATCGATATTAGAGATGGGTTTGTCTATCCGGTGGACAGGAAATGGGTAAATTAGTTTTGTTTTGCAGTGGAAGAGATTTAACTAATTGAGCTATAGCTTAGTTTAGATGGTAAGATATTTATCAAAAAAAAAAAGTTTAGATGGTAAGATAAGATATATTATTTCGAACTGTCACGTCGATTACTTTTTTTTCTCGTTTGAATATTTGTTAAATTTTATGTATACGATTGTTAATAAAAATAAAATAAAATGACTTTATTGTATAACTTATTTTGGTGCGAGTTTTGATCAAATTTTCATATCTACCATGTTTGGTATGATATATGAATAGTACAACATTGGATCCCATGTCGACCTCACACCGTACATTTCACAAATTTCCTTGTCCTATCGTTGTTAAATTATGGGATAATTAGGCCCAATATGGCCCATTAATTAGTAAATTGATTGATACTCTTTCAACTTTTAACCGTATAATTATTGATTGTGCTGTGGGAGAGCCTCAGGCTTTCAATCTTAGTTGTATGGGAACTTCCGGAAGTGGATTTGTCGAATTTAAGCAAAATAGAGTTTCAGATTCGGGATTGAGTCGACACTCTTTCGAGAAAAAAGTCAGGGATTCTGAGGACTCGAATTCAGAATGTGAGAGTGAAAATGAGTTGTAGAGAAAAATGATCATATTGCAATCGATGTTTTGTCCGATTTGAAAAGAATGGAACTTGATGAGAAAACAAAGAGAGCAAACATGGCTGTGGATTCACCCATGAAGAAATGCATTGCTGGAAAAGGTGAAGTGCCGAAAAATGGTGAAAGCAATAAAGGTAGTAAAAATGGCGATAGCGCTAAGGATGCTGCGGAAATTGAGAAGTTCAACAACCCTCTGCTCATGTTGAAAGAAAGAGTTGGTGGAGTTTTCACTTTTCTTAATTTTTTCACTTTTTTATTTGTCACATTTTTTTAGCGTTTTTGTCACTTATTGAGCTTTGAAGATATTTATCAATTTTTTAAATTCTTAGTTCTCTCACTTTTTTATTTGTCACCTTTTTTCTAGCTTTTTTGTCACTTTTTGAGTTTTGAAGATATTTATTAATTTTTGAATTTTATATTTAATAAAAGTGATATTTTTAATAAAAAAATAATACTATACTTAAAAAAGTGATATTGTATCACATAATCTTACAAAGTATTTTTTACTTTTTTTTTTTTGTCACTGTTAAAGTGACATTTAACTTAAAAAAGTAATAACTTTATCATTAGTGACACTTATCTTTAAAAAATGACGCTTAATTTTACGTAGTACTTTTTATTTCCAAAATACTTTTCATATGTTCCGTCATTTTTTTATGTTGTCGCTTTTTTTTTTTGAACGGTTGTCACTTTTTTTAGTATTTGACACTCTTCTATGTCATTTTCTTGAAATTTCTATCACTTTTTCAGGCGACAAACAACACTATTTATTAAAAGTGACATCGTATGACATTTTTTAATAAAAAAGTGATACTTGACTTCAAAAAGTGACATTTAATTTTACACAATATTTTTTACTTCCAAAATACTTTTGATATAATTTTTTAATATATTCCTAATTTTAAGGGTATTTTGTAAGTTGCCATTAAAATTTTCTCATCAAATTTCACACGTGGATGTCTTTATTGTATTTATGCTTGGGCACTTAAATTTGGTCCATGGTGTGTGGTTGCAACTTTAGCGAGTCTCTCTCGTCCGAAGTTTGAAGGCAATGAAAAAACGAGCTATAATAGTATAGACTTTCAATATAAGAGTATTTTATTTTTTTGATTAATTATTTTATTATAGAAATGATAAAATATACCATTTTACCCCTTATTCAATTTATCAAGGTGAGTCAAACATTTTATTCAGGGTTGACTAACAGAATATTGCATGGAATCTGTCCAATGGATCACAGCTACCGTTTAAGTGAAAAGTTTATACCATTTTACCCCTTA